TATACCAACCTCTATTCCATAATGACTCGGAGTTCCTAATCCTCTCTGATTTCTACTGGTCCACCACTCTCCATCATATAACAACCCTAGTCTTTTTCGCCCCGATGTGTTTCCCTCTACAAAATCGATGTGCTTGCACCATCTTTCTTTCCACCTAATTACTGTTTTGTACTTTAGCTTGCTGACAATGTACTTCACTTTTATCTTACACTATTTAGTGGGCTCCAAGAACCCAAAAAGTAAGGGAAATAAATAATAAATAAGAATATATATATATATAGAAGGGTTATATTGATAATTTTTTTTACAAATTTATAAATTACATTATGTTTAACCCGTAAAACTTCATTCAAGAGTGTCTTATCGCTACAACATAGTGTAGATTGTAAACAAAAAATTTGTAAATATAACATTCTCCTATATATATATATATATATATATATATCGGATCAGGATCATTTTATACCGGTGTAAGACTAACAAGGCTTACATCACATCTCAACCGTTGATTTCCGTGCATCAAACGGTTATAATTTAGGAAGCCAGACGAATTAATTAATATCAATTAATCATTAATTATACTACGAATACCAACCAATAATTTTCGTCCATCAACAGTTGAGATGTGGTGTAAGACATGTAAATCTTACACTAGTGTAAAAAGAACCTGCCCATAAATATATGTGTGTGTGGAAGAATATTGGCTAAATTTGTCAAAATAGATGCATATTAGTATATAATGTTGAAATTAATTTTAAATTATTATTTTTTATAAATAAGAAGTTTGATTTGAAAATGTGTCTTTTTGTTGTTAAATAGATGTATTTTTTCGTGTTGAAAGAATATGTTATTTCGTCGATGAATAGGTGCCTTTTAAATTGTGACCTTACGTTTTCTATAAATATATATAGAATCAGAATTTTAGAGAGTTTTTTTATCATTGCATTTGCAGTCTTCCACTTTACTGCGATTAATCAGGCATAAGTTGAATTCGATGAGGCTATTCTATGTGGAAGTGCCGCCACAAGAATGAAGCTAATTCGTTCTATCCTGGGAGACAGTTGTTCACAAATCTTGGGCACCATAGAGAGGTCAATATTAATTTGTGACTAAGATATCTATTTTTAAGAAAATCTATTTTTTTAACTAAAAAAAAGATTTCATGTGTTATAGCCAAATAATGTTCAATCAGAAAATTGAAGTTGTAAGGAGCGATCGAGGGGAAGAGTATAATGGCCCCTTCAAGGAATTTCATTTAGAGTTTGGTATTACGTGCCAAATAATGGCTCCTTATGCTTCACAATCCAATGAGATTGCTAAGAAAAAAAGAACTGGACATTGAAAAAAATGATGAATGCTATGTTGTTGATGTTTGGTCGGGGGAAGTCATTTCATGATAAACTATGTAATCAATAAAGTACCCCACAAAAAAACTAAGAGAACATCCCTTATGAAATGTGGAATGGTAAGAAGCCTACCTTGGATTATCTTTAAGTGTAGGGGTGTTTGGCAAGGGTCGCAATTCTGAAACCAAAAATGATTAAGATTGGACCAAAGACAATGGACTGTGTGTTCATTGGATTTGCACTTAATTGTAGTGCATATTGATTCCTTGTGTATAAGTTTGAGGTCTCGGATATACGTGTTAATACGGTAAGACTATGCTTTGCATTTCTCGAAGTATCTTGTTGTATTTGAAGGACATTGTGATGCAAATTAGATCATCGGCTTTAGTGACACCAAGTCCACAAGTGGGTATGTGTACACACTTGGTGGGGGTGTTGTGTCTTGGGAATCATCCAAGCAAACATGTATTACAAGGTCGACCATGAAGTAAAATTCATTGCCTCGGATAGAGTCGGTGGGGTAGCCGAGTGACTTTGTAACTTCGTTGGGGATATTTTGAACTGGCCGAAGCCAGTGCATACACTGTGATAGTCATGCAGTGATCGAAAGGGCAAGAAACATTATGTATAACGGTAAGCCTAGACATATACGTTGTAGACATGATACCATGAGACAACTACTCTAGATTGGAATCATTACAATTAACTATGTAAAGGCTTAAGAGAATATAGCAGATCCGTTGACTAAAGGGATTCCTAGAGAGTTGGTTGAGAATTTATCGAAAGGAATGAGTTTAAGGCCTATCAATTGTTGATTATTGCAGTAATTAACTCTACCTTGATGAGTAGAGATCCCACGATCTAGGTTCAAAGAGACAACTAAGTGATGATCAACTGTTAACACTGTGGAGTTTCTAAACTCATACTTATTCCTATGACAAGACAGTGTATTTATGAGGATAAACATTTAGGCTTTTAATGATTTCTTAATCTAATGTGTTCAGATGATTTAAAGTGAGTTACATCACAAGGAATCACCTATGTGAGTGTGAAATGAGGGCCTCTTCAATGAGAATTAACAAAGGTCGATTCTCTAGAACACTCGTAGAAACAGGAAGGTGTCCAAGACCAAAATGGGCACAACAATGAGGACCAACAATGTTAGCGAAGCAATTGTGTGACTTCTATTGTCTTGGTATACATTAAAGGTCGACGGTTCAAGTCATCATGACCACCGATTGACCTAGTACGCCCATTAGTTTCACTAGTGCGGTGATGGTTATTGGGCACATGCCGCCCCGATGGATCCTCCCAGATTGGGGGGATTGGTTCATGTCTAGGATTCGACATCGATGGTTTCCGGTAACCGCTTCTGGTGGTCCGCAGCATTTTGATTGCTAGCTTTTAACCACGTGATCGTGGAAAAGTTCTCCACAGACGGCGCCAATGTCCTGCCTGAGTGGCAGAGATGTCTAACCAAGGGTTAGCTAGTTGATGTTCGATTTGGTGCTCTCTCTAGATACCTATAGATTAGGTATCTTGGGAGTAGCGAATCACGACACACGATATAACGGCCTTAGCCAAGAGAGGGGATGGTGTGTGTGCAGTGTGATTGTATAAAATAGATTAAAGAGAGATCAGTCATATCTGTGGTCTTTAGCTCCTATTTATAGAGTTTGGTTAGACATCTCTGCCACTCAAGCAGAACAACTAGAGAAGGTTCAAAGGTGACTCCTACCTATCTCTATGCAATTATTTCTCGCTGAGGTATCGCACTTTGCATTCATGTTCATATGCATATGGTCTTGATTGTTGAACTTTTTATTCATGTGGGGGATTGTTGAAATTAATTTTAAATTTAATTATTTTTTATAAATAAGAAGTTTGATTTGAAAATGTGTCTTTTCATCGTTGAATGGATGTGTCTTTCGTCGTTGAACAGATGTATCTTTTCGTATCGAACAGATTTGTTGTTTCGTCGATGAATTGGTGCCTTTTGAATCATGACCTTACGTTTTCTATAAATATATAGAGAGAGTTTTTTTCCCATTGCATTTGCATTCTTCCATTCTAGTGCGATTGGTCAGGTATAGGTTGAGTTCGATGGAGCTATTCTATGTAGAAGTGCCGCCACGAGAATAGAAGTAATTCGTTCTATCCTGGGAGATAGTTGTTCACAAATCTTTGGGCACCATAGAGAGGACAATATTATCTTAAGAACACAGTGTCTAACACTAAACTCAGATTTTTTCTTGTCACATCCATATAGTTTAGTATGGTACGCTTTAATTGTGTATCTTTGCATGTTTTAATTTGTTGTGTGCATTTCATGAAACTGTGAATATTGTCGAAATAGTTTCTCTAACACATAGTATCCCCTCTCAACGATTTTATCATCATTTTTTCTAACACCAAGAGTCTAGTAATCATTGGTCAATAATTTATATGTAAATACTATCATTGGTTTTTGAATAGACTTGGTATGTCTAAACTTACAAATAAGATGATATTTTCAAACTTCTATTTATAAAAAAAAAAAACTGTTCGAAAAGTTAGGAATAAATTTTTTTTTAAAATAAAATTATTTGTAAGAAAATTTTAAAAATAATTTTTATTTGATTTTAATTTTCTTAGTTATAAATATATTAAAATTTGATCGGATTTGAAAAAATATTGCTTTTTAAATTGAGTTAATTCCATTGAAATCAAATTGATTTTATTTCTTTTCATAATTTCAAACATAGTCTAAAAAGGGTATGTTTTTAGTATTCCGGTAATATGCTTCTTTATCAAAAGTGAAAAAAAGACATTTTTTTTAGGTATACAAAAAAAATACATTAATCATAAATAAGTGAGTAGAATAAATACATATAAATAAATTACATAATTTCAATTTTGTTAAGTGATGTATTAAGTCTTTCGTATTACAGGAATATCAAGAATAATTTCCGAAAAAGAAACTCATTTAAAAATAAATAAAAAGAAAAGAAAAGACATTATCCATTTGCAACGTAAAGTCTCTATTGGGGTGGTCAACAACGTTTTGCATCATTAATAAATTCCCGACATGCAACTATTTTACTATTATTAAGGTTTTTCTTATCTGCATCACACATGTTAATAAATGATAAACAATTATTAAATATCAAATGCTGCATGCACTAGTTAAAAAGGCCCATGTTATTATATATGTTTATGTTTTGTCAGTCAATTCTTTGCACTATAATCAGCTTTTTGAATTGATTCAAATCCAATGCAGGGAACAGCTCCAGTATGTTCCAGCCAAACTCTACTGTTCGGGATTCCTCTTAATCACGGAACTTACATTATCCTTTTTCTTTTTCTTTTTTTATAAATTCTTAAAGAAAAGAAATAAAGTTAAAGTAAAATGACAATTTTATAATTCATGATAAAAACTTAATAACTCTAAGTTTTAAGATCTATATATCTCATAATAAGCATATTTATTTTGTAATTTGGATGGATGAGATCTCCTCCACAACATGATAATGTTATGACTGTGTCTTATTGGTAAAGTTAGTAGTTCTAAGAACAATAGTCGTTTGTCATGAAAATTAAGAGCAAGAATATATACTCAAATTTTGGTTACCCAAATAGATAGATATAGAAGATTTTGGGGAGAAGAGAGAAGAGTTTGTTGCAATTTTTTCTTATGCCATTTTTCATTTACTATTACTGTCTGTTACAGAATTTGGAAAAACAATACAAGTGTAGCATTAAGGATTATTGTAATTGATGTTTGCATGAGATCAATGGAGAGCAGTGACATATCAGTTGATGGTGTAAGAGCTAGTAGTTCTAACGTATGGATGAACCATAGTATGGATGTTTTTTCAACATCTGAACGTGAACGTGAAGATGATGAAGAAGCTCTCAAATGGGCAGCAATAGAGAGACTCCCAACATATCTAAGGATTAGGAGAAGTATACTCAAAGATGCAGAAGGGAAAGGAAGAGAAGTTGATATCAAGCAACTAGGATTAACAGAGAGAAAGATTCTGCTAGAGAGACTTGTCAAGATTGCAGAAGATGACAATGAAAAGTTCTTGTTGAAACTCAAGGAAAGAATGGACAGGTGAGTTGTTTACTTTTGTAATTTTAAGTTATTTTATGACATGGGAAATTTGATAGATTTGAAACGGTTCAGGTGATTGAGAATTCTTAACATTTTTTTGACAGAGTTGGACTTGATATTCCAACAATTGAAGTTCGATTTGAGCATGTGAATGTGGAAGCACATGTTTATGTTGGAAGCAGAGCATTGCCTTCGTTACTCAACTTCTTTGTTAATGTGCTAGAGGTAATTCAATATGGCACATGATGTTTCTTTCTACCATGGTTTTTTTCTCTGACTAGTTATAAAATGATCTCTTTCTTTTGCTAAGGGATTCTTAAATTATCTTCACATCATTCCAAGTCCAAAGAAACCGCTACATATCCTTCAGAATGTTTGTGGAATCTTAAAGCCTCGAAGGTGAATTCAAGTCTTTTTTTTTTTTTTTTTTGTAAATTCCATAGTTTTTGTTTTTGCTAAAATTAAATGCTCCAGATAGATCTTTTGTTGTTCTCTGATGGTGAAAATTTTGCAGAATGACATTGCTTTTAGGGCCACCAGGTTCTGGGAAGACCACTTTGCTGTTGGCACTGGCTGGAAAACTTGGTAAAGATTTGAAGGTAAGGAAACCAACTTTGAATGAGGGCATAGATTGCATTTGAGTACTTTTTTTAATTATGACTAATTTCATTAGTGATGAAACCACAGCGTTCTGGGATGGTAACATACAATGGGCATGGGCTAGAAGAGTTTGTGCCCCAAAGGGTATCAGCTTATATAAGTCAACATGATAACCACATTGGAGAAATGACTGTGAGAGAAACACTAGCTTTCTCAGCAAGATGTCAAGGGGTTGGACAGAATTATGGTTGGTTGCTTCATTTTAGAAAGGAAAAAGAAAAGAAAAGCAAAACAAAACACTTTTAGCTAAATCCCAACCTTCTTAAGTTCTCTTAATCAGGGTTTTGAATTTCACTATATTACAGAGATGTTGACTGAACTACTAAGAAGAGAGAAAGAGGCAAAGATTAAACCAGATCCTGATATTGATACCTATATGAAGGTGAGAAATAAGATTGAAAAAAAGCCTTTTAACTTTATGTTTTAAAAGAATAACACATGGCATTGTGAAGAAGCTGAGTTATTTCTGTACATGCAGGCAGCAGCACTAGAAGGACAACAGGCCAGCGTGGTCACAGACTATATTCTTAAGGTAAAAGTCCAAATTCATTAAATAAAGGGAATATAAATGACTTGTGAAACAATATAGGATTTTTTTTTTTTTTTTTATTTTCCCTTATAAAATGTTGCAGATTTTGGGACTTGAAGTCTGTGCTGATATTATGGTAGGAGATGGAATGATAAGAGGTATCTCAGGAGGGCAGAGAAAAAGAGTGACAACAGGTAGTTTCTGTTTATCAAGAAACAGTTTGACAAAAGAACTTACATATAGAGTTTGGAACTTATAATGAGTTTGATTGATAATAAATTTCTGTGGAATAATGAAGGGGAGATGCTGGTTGGACCTATAAGGGTGTTGTTAATGGATGAGATATCAACTGGTTTGGACAGTTCCACAACTTTTCAAATAATCAGCTCAATTCGTCAGTCCATCCATATTCTCAATGGGACTGCACTTGTCTCTCTGCTACAGCCAGCTCCAGAAACTTATGAACTATTTGATGATATAATACTCCTAACAGATGGGCAAATTGTGTACCAAGGACCAAGAGAAAATGTAATTGAGTTTTTTGAATCAATGGGTTTCAAGTGTCCTGAAAGAAAAGGAGTTGCTGACTTCTTACAAGAAGTATGAGTCTGATTCATTTAGTCTTTCTTTTTAAAACTTGCTTTTTTATTGATATATAGTAAATATTGTTCTCATGATGTGCAAAAAGGTGACATCAAGAAAAGATCAATGGCAATATTGGGCACATAAAGATGAGCCTTACAGCTTTGTTACTGTGAAGGATTTTGCCGAAGCATTCCAGTTATTTCACATAGGTCAAAAACTTGGAGATGAGCTAGCCAATCCTTTTGACAAGTCTAGATGCCATCCAAATGCATTGACCACAAAGAAGTATGGTGTTAACAGGCATGAGCTGCTGAGAGCTTGCGCTAGCAGAGAATTTTTGCTTATGAAGCGAAATTCGTTTGTCTACATATTCAAAGCCACCCAAGTGAGTAACGTTTCAAGTGCTAATGCTGTTTATATTAGTAAAGAACCAATTCAACCCAAAAGCTTAAGTTGGTGGGTCAATTCAACCCAAAAGCTTAAGCTGGTGGTGGGTGAGGGCTTTGTAATAGTTTATAATATTCTCTAATACGCCCCTTCACACGAGAGCCCACTGGGCTTGAAGAGTGGACAATGCACAGACCCACCTACCTGTGCAAACAAAGAAATTCCACTTAAAAGAAAGTGGAGGGTGGTGAGGATCGAACGCGATACACCGAGGTTCTGATACCATGTAAAGAATCAATTCAACCCAAGTGATGGTTTTTTAATGGTTTATAATATTTTCTCACAATATTATCTGATTTGGAACTAGATTCTAGGTACAAAGTTTTTGTTAAGAGTGAATGAAGATGTTAAATGGAGTGTTTCATGTATCCTACCAAACACTTTTCTTCATCTTCTTCTTCTTAATCTTTTTTTTTTGTCCTTATGCATGTCTTGTTCCTCCTTTTCAGCTTATTTATTTAGCTATCATGACAACAACATTATTTCTACGAACTAAGATGCACCGAGATACTGTGGAGGAGGGAGGAACTTACATGGGTGCTCTTTTCTTCACAGTCATTGTAGCATTGTTCAATGGAATATCAGAGCTAAATATGGCCATCATGAAACTTCCTGTCTTTTTCAAGCAAAGGGACCTTCTTTTCTATCCTTCGTGGGCTTATTCTCTTCCCCCATGGATTCTCAAAATACCAATAACCCTTATAGAAGTTGCCATCTGGGAAGGCATCTCTTACTATGCCATTGGCTATGATCCAAGTTTTTTAAGGCAAGAAGGGACTACATCACAATTCATGAATTAAGCCTACCAGTTACTCTTTTGGAAATCTAATGAGAAATTTTATTGGCAGACTTTTAAAACAGTACTTGGTGATCCTGTGCATTAACCAGATGGCATCTGCACTATTTCGGTTGATGGCAGCAATAGGAAGGGATGTTGTAGTTGCAAACACTGTTGGATCATTTGCATTACTAGTAGTTATGGTTTTGGGAGGATTTGTGATTTCACGAGGTAAAAATACGGTAATTAACTTCAAAGTTTGCTGATGTAATGAAGTTTTTTTTTTATGATAAATCTGTTCTTTTGCACTAGAGGATGTCCACAAATGGTTTCTGTGGGGTTATTGGTCCTCACCACTGATGTATGGACAGAATGCTATAGCTGTGAATGAATTTCTTGGGCGTAGTTGGAGTAAGGTAATCCAATTTGTTTTGAGTGGTGAATAAGCTCTAAGAGAAACAATGAGTCTTGGAAAGATATATTTATGAGATAATTTACTGAGTGCTGTAGGTGACTGCTAATTCCAATGAAACACTGGGAGTTTTGATACTGAAAACTCGTGGATTTTTCCCAGAAGCTTACTGGTATTGGATTGGAGTAGGAGCATTGATTGGTTATGTTTTTCTATTTAATTTTCTCTTCACCTTAGCCTTGCAATATCTAAGTCGTAAGTACCATCTTCATCTTTCTTTGAGCTGTGAACTTTACTTGAACCTCTTTTCTCACCACAGATTTAATTTTTTTATCTTTGGACATGTTGCCTCTGCAGCATTCAGAAATGATCAAGCAGGGCTATCACAAGAAAAATTGCTCGAGAGAAATGTTTCAACAGCTGAAGAGTTCACTCAATTACCAACACAAAAGAGCTCTAATGGTGAGTCCTTGAGCCCCAAGTTATAGTTTCTTTGTTTGTAGCTAGAAGTTTGGTATTCAAGACATAACATATTGACTGTGATGACAAGCTAGAAGCAAGTATATCATCCAGGTCGTTTTCTGGAAGAGTTAGTCATGATAAAGCTAGTAAAAGTGGAAGGAGGGGCATGGTTCTTCCTTTTCAACCTCTATCCCTCACTTTTGATGAGATCAGATATTCTGTAGACATGCCACAGGTACCTTACATGCTTACTTTTAAGATGTAATATTTCAACTAATCTTTCTATTTGTATGTGATAGGTTGTATTTAAAATATGTGTGTTTTCTTCAATTCTTAGTTTTTTTTCCCCCCCATATGGACAAGCCAATTGCTATAGCACTGTACTTTTCTGAATGACCAGCATTGCACCTGGTATTTTTAATCCCTCTATCTAACTCCAGCAATAGGATATTTCTTCAACAGTATTTCCATGATTTTATGTATGTCAAAACATTCTCATCAGTCTTCAATCTAACCTCTATAAAAGAAAAAGAAATAGGAAATTGTTCCTAAATTTTGACTGTTATCTTGATTGTAGGAAATGAAAAATCAAGGGGTTTTAGAGGATCGTCTTGAACTTTTGAAGGGTGTTAGTGGTGCTTTTAGGCCTGGAGTACTAACAGCTCTGATGGGTGTAAGTGGTGCCGGCAAGACTACTCTGATGGATGTTTTAGCTGGAAGGAAAACTGGTGGATATATTGAAGGATGCATCACAATATCTGGGTACCCAAAGAATCAAGAAACATTTGCTCGCATATCAGGATATTGTGAACAATTTGATATCCACTCACCCAATGTTACAGTTTATGAATCTTTGCTATATTCTGCATGGCTTAGATTACCCCCTGAAGTAGATCATGCAACTAGAAAGGTATAATTTAAACATCATAAGATTGCTCAAAGTACAGAAAAGTTAATCTGCAGCTTTATTAAGTACTAACCTGTGGTTTTGGAGAATTTACAGCTTATTAACTTGTACTCAATTTTTATGAGATGCAGATGTTCATTGAGGAAGTTATGGAGCTTGTAGAGCTTAACTCACTAAGAGAAGCACTTGTTGGATTGCCAGGAGAGACTGGACTTTCAACTGAGCAGCGCAAGAGGCTTACAATTGCAGTTGAACTTGTGGCCAACCCATCAATAATATTCATGGATGAGCCAACGTCTGGTCTTGATGCTAGAGCAGCTGCAATTGTTATGAGAACCGTGAGGAACACTGTGGACACAGGACGTACTGTGGTTTGCACCATCCACCAGCCAAGTATTGATATATTTGATGCCTTTGATGAGGTAAAAAGTGTTGTTAACATTGAATTACACTTTTGTTTTGGATACTACATTTCGAAGAATGAAGTATTTTAATCTAAATCTTTGCAGCTACTACTTCTGAAATTGGGAGGGGAGCAAATATATGCTGGTCCATTAGGCCGCCACTGTTCCATTTTGATTCAGTACTTTGAGGTGAATCTAGTGTAAATGAGATTTAACATATTAGTTGCTGCTGTAGCATTAGCATATTCACAGTAGTGCATGATTACTATAGGCTATTCAAGGAGTTCCTAAGATCAGAGATGGTTATAATCCTGCAACCTGGATGTTGGAAGTTACATCAGCAGGAACAGAAGCAAGCCTTAAGGTCGACTTTACTAATGTGTACAAAAACTCAGAACTACACCGGTTAGACTCCTATCTTAAACCTTATTATGTTTGATAACATAACAACAAATATTGGTAATTGTTTTGCCTACGTGGCATGAATAGCCAAGGGCTAGTAAGTCAATGTTGGATATGATGCTCTCTCTAGATACCTGTGAATTATGTATCTAAACTATGTATCTTGGGGGTAGCAAATCACGGTACACAATAATGGGACCTTAGCCAGAAATGGGGTGGTGTGTGTGCACTGTAATCGCATGAAATAAGTTAGAAAGAGATTAGTCATACCTATGGTCTTTAGCTCCTATTTATAAAGTTTACCTTAGGGTTTGAGTAATTTGGGCTTTCAAAGAATATGGGCCTTACCCAGGTCTATAACAGTAATCAACAGTTATTTTGTTTCTTTTTTATTTATTGTTTTCTTTTGATGTTTTAAATCAAGGCTGCAGCATCCAAAGTTTCAGGATTATGAGAATATAAGATGCATACATTTCTCAGCTTATGATTTTACTGCAGTAGCGTTCAAAGATTTTGATCAATAGTTTATTGATACTTCCAATTGTTTAGGAGAAACAAACAATTGATCCAGGAGCTCAGCACACCTTCTCAAGGTTCAAAAGAACTATACTTTAATAGTCAGTACTCGCAGAGTTTCGTGGCACAATGCAAAGCTTGCCTATGGAAACAGCATTTATCATATTGGCGCAACACATCATATACTGCAGTTAGACTCCTATTTACAACAATAATAGCTTTATTGTTTGGGGTCATATTTTGGGAGATTGGTTTGAAAAGGTATGTGAAAAAGAAAACAATACATTGACACAATAACTAAAGTGATGTGAAAAATTGAAAATGGAATTCAAAACTGTAAAGAACCTTGGGATACACCACCCCAAAAGCTAGCTCAAAGGGTGGGAGTGCCCAAAGCCTTATAAACTCCATATTAGTTGCACATACAACCAATGTGGGACTATATATCTCAACAAAAACAATTATTACCACCTAATACCTTTAATTTAATGAAAACCACAGGAGAAAGGAGCAAGATCTTTTCAATGCAATGGGTTCAATGTATGCTGCAGTTACCTTCATTGGAGTACAGAATGGTGCCTCAGTGCAGCCTATAATTGCAGTTGAGAGAACAGTCTTCTATAGAGAGAGAGCTGCTGGAATGTATTCAGCTTTGCCATATGCTCTTGCACAGGTAAGGAACTAACTCCAATCCAAGCAATTCTTTGAAAAGAACAAGAGATATGAGACATTTTTGTTCTCCCAATCACAGTCCAAAGGAAAGAACTGTAGTTCAAGACATCTAAGGGTTGAACTCAACATTTGTATTTTATAAACAACCATCTCACTTTAAAGTTCAAGAGGTTAACTAAAAACTCATCAATGATTTTATAATATATCTCCTTAACACATCCCTCAGAGTCTTTTAGGCTTGAAGTATGCATCAGGGCCATACCTGTGCTAACTTAAGTTCACTATAAAGTGGGAATGGTGAGGATCTAACATATGAACTCGTGATCACAGAAGCTCTAATATCATAAAGTTCAAGCTCTTAATTGAAATTATATTTGCAGGTTATTATCGAACTTCCCCACATCTTGGCTCAGACCCTGATATATGGGATTATAGTATATGCAATGATGGGATTCGATTGGACAGTATCAAAGTTCTTGTGGTATATTTTCTTCATGTACTTCACTTTCTTGTACTACACCTTCTATGGTATGATGACCATGGCCATAACTCCAAACCCACACGTTGGGGCCATATTGTCCTCTTCATTCTATGCAATATGGAGCCTTTTCTCAGGCTTCATCATTCCCTTATCGGTAAGTTACAACCTTTGCTGACATCTTTTGTTTAATGCTTGACATGAACTTAAGTTTGACAATAAAAAAACAATTACAGAGAATACCCATATGGTGGAAGTGGTACTATTGGATTTGCCCAGTTGCATGGACCTTGTATGGATTGGTGGCTTCCCAATATGGAGATGACATGAACAAACTTGAGAATGGTCAAAGGGTTGAAGAATTTGTGAGGAGTTACTTCGGGTTTGAACATGACTTTCTAGGAGTGGTTGCAGTTGTGGTGGCTGGTTTCTCAGTGTTGTTTGCACTTATCTTCGCCTTTGGAATCAAAGCATTCAATTTCCAAAAACGATAAAAACCACTCTTCCAGAGCGTTCATACATCCCCATATGAAGCATTATGCTTATGTTATGAAATCTCAGTCACAATTTCAATGGAAAAATGCAGGCTACTCCTGACGGCTGAACTGGAGTTTTGCAATTCCGTTATAAGATTCTTTGACAAATACATCGGTTGAAACCCAAATACTAAATCCTAGGTTGTCCTTTTGATATAGGTAGTTATTCTTTCTTTGCATGAGGAAGTAGAAAGGGATAGTCATTCAAATGAGTATATAATATATAATACTGCAGCAATATGTAAGTATCAACTTTTAAGCACTTTATAATATGTTCATACTAAATCATCCTTCCTTAATGCATAGCTTGAGTTGGATAGTTCATGCAATTAAGTTTCAAATACTTCAACATGGACATTGTTTTTACATTTTATTCGAGCCAAGAGATCGTATCCAATATAGGGCCCATGGTCCGAGGATCAACTATGAGGGATGATGAGCTACTATATATAGCGGTGCCGGTGCTTGAAGCCAATGAGTGGTGTATGTAGAATGATAGTGAGAAGCTAGAATTCAGAAGTATGTAATTGGAGGGTTTGATTCCTAATAGACAGGGTTTACCTGAGAGTAAGGGTATGTATGGGAGTTTTGAGGGAGGGGGAAGGGAAGAGATCTAAAGGGGAGGAAGGAATGGAATGAGAATGAAAATGAAAATGAGAGTGTTTGGGCGTTAAAAATATGGTAAGTGAGAAAAATAAATAATTAACGAGATATTTTTATAATTTTACCCTTTCTTAAAAATTAACCTTGTTTTTACAATTTAAACAAGATTCAAAATTTGCAAAAAAAAAAAAAAAAAAACTGACTTGTGTCATGGGAAAGGAAAATAAAGATGGGTCATCCTTAGGGTTTCGTTTTTGCTTGAAATGAAGAGAGAGAGCATTGCTTGTTTCTAAATTAAATAAAAGAAAATAAAAATTTGAAAAAAGAGTAAGTAAATATAAGTAATTTACTATATTTTTCCTCTCAATCCCTTAAATTGGGGAAATTCTGATTTTAATGGTGAGAAATATATTGGAGGGTTTTATAAAAATCTCCTATTTTTTCTCTCATTTTTTAAAACACACATACAAAGGGAAGATATAAACAAACCATTCATCTTCCTTCCCTTTCTCTCTTAATATTGATTGTCAAACACACCTTAATAAAATTTGTGTAAGACACAACATCTTTGATGGAGTGTTGGAATGTAGGGCAACCTTAAGGGGGCGTTTGTTACGCGGATTTTTTTTTGTTATCTGGGAAAACAAACTTGAAAAAAGTTGTATGCCACGTTTGGTATCAAAGAAAGGGGAAGTTTCTCGGATAAAAATATTTCCCTTTTTTGGTTTTGTTTGTAAAGCTACGTATGACTACATCAACTTTTTGTCCATCGAATATGTGGAATACTTTTTAGCTGGGGAGATGTGAAAAAGGAAAAACGAATGAGATGACCAAAATAACCTTGTCTGATTGTACGATGTGTGAAGATATGGAGTTGTGATGAAGTGACCTGGTGGGGTTATTTTCGTAAAGTAACCTCACTTTCCCATTAATATTTAACAATCAACCAAACACACTCTCAGTAAATTTAACTATAAAATTTTCGAGAAAATTTGATTATACCAAACACCTTTTACTAAAGTTTCAGTAAAAATATATTTCTCACTATATTTCAATAATAATTATTTTCCAGATCAATAAATAAAAAAATTTCTTCTACCAAACGACCATAACTCTAATCTTCTTGTGGAAACACACGCGGGTTAGAATCACAAATATTGTAGGCCTGTGTATAATATGGGCCTACAAGCCCATTTGTATACCTCAGTTTAAATGGATTACTGCCCGTTAAACCGCAAAACAATTTCTTTTTTATTTTTTTGTGGGTGCAAATTTTCAATTTATTGCCACGGGTTTAATGGCTGCTCTCAATACAAAAATGAAAAATAAATAATTTTTTAAAAAAATATTAAGTATTTCAACTTCTACTTGAGATATTTGCATAATTGCATGACTTAGAATAATTATTAGAATGAATTTAGATATTTAGTACTTTTCGCTCATATTGAATTTTGGATTTATCATGTTATTTGTTCATACTTATTTCCATGACTCGATAGAAAAGAAAGATCAGAGTTAAAATTAATAAAATAATTATTTTGACTATTTATATGCTTTTTATCATTATTTTTTATTTTTTATTTTTAAACACCATCCAACAAGTAGGAGTGTTCGCGGTCTAGATTGGATCTGTTTTGAAAGCAAAAATATCTGATCCAATCCCTTCGGTTTGATCATGTAAACATCCATTCGGTTTGGATTTTTTTTCAAATCTGATCCGATCCGATCCAATCAAATTTTTTTCGGTCTGGATTGGATCGATTTTTGATTTTTTGAAAATCCTAAAATTTATTTAATGATTAGCGTGCGAATAACATATTTTGTATATATTAGTTTTGTAAAAAAAATAAATTGAAATACAAAAGTATTAGTAAACGATAATATAGTTTTTTTTTGGGCAATGAGATATGAAGCTCTACATAAATGATTTTTTTTTTATGAGACGTGACTAGATTTTTTCATGGGTTTAGTTGATGAGTTAATGGATCTTGGGTTTAGAAATTTTTGAGCTATGATGAAAAAATGCCCAAGTAGGTAGATGAGAATTAATGTATTGGATTGATTTGGATTGGATCGGTTTTCATCAATCAATTCGAAAACACATCCAATCCCATTACAATTTACTTTTTTTTTTCAATTTTTGATTTTTCGATTTTCAATTTATTCGGTTATTGATTTTTTGATTCAATCACCGCGATTTGAATCGATTGATAAAATTCCGACCTATAACTTATAAGTACCCAAGCTATTGCGATGCAAAGCAAGTCTAAATTATATAAGTTCATTTAATTTATGAACCAATCCACTACAACCCATTTATGGATGGTCCATCCCTCATCAGACCTGTGCAGATCCAGCTGGCCTGCATACCTACTTTAGTTAGAGGTAAATTAATTTAAATTTCTAAGGAAGTAAATATGATTAATTAATTTATTGGGAAATATTTTTTTTACATTGATGTAAATAAGTTATCTTATATAAGTGAAATAAAATAACAAGAGGGATCCACAAATAATTAGAGAGAGAAAAATAGAAGTGAAACTCACTTTTGTTATATGTGTAGGAAGATGAGTTATCTCGTGTAGAATGAAATAAATATAACCCTAATTTATTATATGCATTTCTATGTTGTTTCCTACAATCTTTTCTTTTGTTTCACTCTTGGTCGTGGGATACTAATTTGAACTAAGTTTTTTTTTTTTTTGGGTAAACATAAGTTTTTTTGGTAGAACTATTAGTGTAATCATTCTTTTCTTTAATTATTGTTGCTATAAAACTTTGGATACATATGTGCTAATTGTTATGAAACAATACTAATAAAGTTGAATTTATGTTGTAACTTGGTTTGAAATCCTCAATTGTTTAGTAGTTATCTGCGGCGGATGTGTTCTTTAGTTTAGTTCGATTAATTAGTCCCGCACTGGTTTATAATTTTTACAAATGTTTATTATATAAATGAAGGAACAAGTTATATTTACAAATTCAAAGTTTACAAATTTTTATAAACTATACTATGTGCTATCAGTAGTATATGTTTAAGCAATATGTATTACCCATAATACATAGGATAATTTGTAAATATTTATAAACTTTGAATTTATAAATATAATCATTCTTGTATAGGAAACGCACTTAGTTTTTTTTTTTTTTTATCACTATCTGTGTGTAATTCTGTTCTTCTTTTGTTTTTTTGTTTTTTTTTTGGACAAACAGCAATGAAAAAACAACTAACTAGAACAAAGCCTGAGTAAAGCTTCCCTCGGGCCATCCACGTTAATCTTCACCCAACCCGGATTAGGGTACCTCCATACTATTAGGCGCTCAATCCTTGGACGGTTCGTTAGTCCTCCATCCAGTATGATCCGTCGAGCTTGTATACAGCTGTCCCAAATGAAAAGATTGAGCAAAAACAAAAAAACAATAAAAAATAAAGCAATAAATAAAAATAAAGATAAATAAAAAAATCAATAAAATGAAAAATAAATTAGAGCAGAAAATAATTAAATGAATAAATAAAGAAATAAAGGGAAATATAAGAAAATTACTAGTTAGCAGTGGCAGACCCAAAAAAGTATATGACGTGGGACGAAAATTTATACTACTATTATAAGAAGACAGTGCTAGTTTTAGTTGAAATTATCACGCTAAGGATGCAAAAATACCTGCCAGGAAGAACCTAATAAAATTTTAGAATTGTTTTACACATAAAAAAATTTTGCTATAATTTTCGTAAAATTTATCATAATCTTGTGCCTCCGGTGACAGTGGTTTAATGTACTTTCTGTTTCAATAAGGAGGTAGCCTTAGGGCCGTACTCTGATGACAAGATGATTAGAGGAGGTTGTGTGGAGATACCTCCAAGGTATCTACAAAAAAAATGTTAGTATTTAATTTAGGCTAAATTACAATTTACCACCCTATACTTAGACCCTCTTCAAAAAATCCCCCTTAACTTCTAATTTAAACAATTAACCTAATTAAATTATAAAACTTAAACAATTAAACATATCTGTAAAGAAGACATCTAACTCTGTTAAATGTCTAACGTGACTTACAAAAACTTATGTCGTTTTCTTCGTTCCCATAAATCGAAACATGTTCCTGCGTGCATCCTTGAACTTGTGTCTAACATTAGTCTGGTCGCCCATGGGAAAGGAATAACATCATCCAGTATGTATGTTGGGTATTTGCGCACCACTTGGGAAGCACAAAATTATGGTTGGACTAAGGTGAATGTCGATGGAACTGCTTCTCAAAGTAATTCTAAAGGAGCACGTGGTGGTATAGCTCGTAATCATTTGGGAGATTGGATGGGTAGATTTATGCGTCGTATTGATAGTTACTCTGTTATTGAAGCTTAGCCTTGGGCCATCCTGCAAGGTTTATTCTTCGCGTGAAACATGAATGTCACAAATTTGATTGTTGAGAGTGGTTCCATGGAAGCAATCTCCTCTGTGGAATGCTATTATGCAGAGGGAGGAAATTCCTATTTGATTAGAAGGATTCATGATTGTCCGCAGCGGTGGGAAGTCAAGTTGGTATATGTCTGTCGAGAAGCAAATCGGGGAGCAGATTTAATGGTGAAACAAGGTCTTAATTGCACGCACCACAACCTTGTGTCTCTCAAGACCCCCCCCTGTTCAAGCCCTTTTGTTGTTACAGGTTGATCGTCCTTGTATAAT